CAGCAGGAAGGATGCTTCATGATTGCACCACAAAAAATGCGTGTTTCAACCTGCTTTAATGCCTTTATTGCTGGAATAGCACAAGTAGGTGAAGGCACTTAATACTTTTTGCAGCTATTTCTTATTGCCTGTTGAAATGGTGGTAGCACAGCCTTCTTTGTACCAACATAATGTCTGAGTGTGGTAATCCTACTTAAACCTTCTTAACACCTCTTCAGTTGGTGAAAGAATTTGGGAACAAGGATCGCTGCTTGTTCTTTACTCTCAGAAGGCTCCATGTAGCCTCATCAAGTGCTTTCTGTAGGTTCTTGCTTTGCAGTTAAAAAGTAAATAGTTAAATAGAAGTATGCTAATTTGTAACTTCCTACTAGTACTCTAAACTTGCTGCATCATTGGCATAGAGATAACAGTTTTGTGTGTGTGCAGGCACGCAAATACTACTGTTGTCCTTAAATCAGGGTTCTTCACCAGGTGTGCGAAATGCCAATTGACACACTGAGTCGAGATATTTGTCTTTATTGCCAGTCTGCAGATTGGGGTGCCAGGCATTTAACGTCAGCCAGCACCTCTCCTAGAAACACATCGGGTCTTTTTATCCAAACGAAAACAAAAAAAAATTACATTAGAGTAACTGATTGGTCACTTATACAAACATTCATCTGCACATGTCCCAGTTCTAATTTAGCCCTAAGGAGGACCTACATTTACACATAAAATCTCCTCCTAGGGGTGTGGTTTTTAGTATTATAATTACCTAAGGTAACTAAAGGTTATACCTTCCTCCTGTCAACTTCCACGAAGTTACAGTTTGACGTTACACCCTGTTATTATTTCTGCTTAGACAATGGTTAACCTTGAGACAGGTAATTGCAGATCTTTGTTTTAGGAACTTTCTGTTCTCGTTGTCATGGTTTCAGAGCAGACCCATTATGGTTGCCTTAACTCTCCAACATCACTACCACTGTATGACAAATTAGAGACCGCTCCAAACCTCTTTACCCTCGTTCCCTAGCCTTTGAATGCCTTACTTTCCTCACATGTCACATGTTTCCTCCTTTGCCATTCAGGAAGACCTGGGACCCATGTGCTCTTGATTGTTCCCCTTGCGTGAATGGTCTGTGAACTCTGACATTCTTCACTTTGCAGGAGGCTCACTGTCCTTCTTCCTTAGAGTGCACCAGGACTTTCTGTTCTCCCTTTCTTAGGGAGTGGTGCCACCATGGTGAACTTTTGTCTGTATTGCTATGATAAATGACTAAGCACATCACTGCTTTGTGCCTTCTTTCTCCATCTTGCAAGGAGGACCGTACTTTCCTACCTCACGAGGCTCTTCTAAGGCTCAATTATTTCTTACTGATAGAGCAGTTGGTGATGCTAGCTGAAAAACATTTCACACTTGCAGGGTATTCTTATTATTTGCAATGAAGAGTCATCATCACTTCCACACTTTTTCATTATCACAGTCTCTCATAAAGGATTACTGTAGGGGAGAGAGAGGGCTGTGATTTCAGATCTCCTCCTGCCCCAGCTCTTAAAATGCCCACTGTAACCTTCAAACATTGCTCAAAGCTATCCTGGCCTCTTCTGTATCTGCAATTTTTATCAGGATTTTCTGATTCGTACATTGGAATCAGTGATTTTTCAAAGTCAGTTGTAATGTAGATACTTGGATAAACTTTCACAGTCATGGAGATGTCAGTTATCCATGTTTCAGCAGGCAAAACAGAAGGTGTTAATGCAAACTAAGTAGCTGCAAATGCATCCTGATCCATTGTCTCGGAGCACCATTGCTGGATGTTGTTCATCATCTTTCACTTGTACAGTTTTAAGCTGAAGCATGTAAAAGGAGATGCAGGCCTGTTACTGTTGTATTGAGAGTCTGAAAATCATCTTTCACTTGTACAGTTTTAAACTGAAGCATGTAAAAGGAGATGCAGGCCTGTTACTGTTGTATTGAGAGTCTGAAACTGGCGGTTTAGATTACAGGGCAGTATCTTCCACATTTTTTTACATGTTCTCCAAGTTTGGATTCCCCAACTTCAGTGATCATAATTGACCTGCTTTTCAGAAGTACTGCTTAATGCAACACTAAGTATCAGGCCCTGCCTTTCCTCTTTTGCCTTTAAAATGTCTCAGGATAGCCGAATTCACTGTTTCTGTTTGAGAAGCTTTGTAGTTGAATCCTGGCTCCCCTGATGTCAAATGGAGTCTGAGAACTTCAATAGGCCAATATTTTTCTCCATGTAGCAGACATCAAAACTTTAATTTGTATTTTTGGGGGATTTTTTTCTTAGCTATAGGGCTGCTTTGTGTTGGGAATCTCCTTTGCTGCAAGAGAAATGCTATTTGCAATCTGAAGATGCGTTTACAGAATGAAAACTCAGTATGGAGCTCTTAAGAGATCTATTTCAGTTACACTCCCTCCCCAAGTCATAAATACTTGCTTTCCCCAACAAGCTCCACAAAGGTTGGGAGCGGGCTGACTTGCTGGTTCATTGTTTTTGATTCCAAGCTGGATTGGAATGCTTAGTTCAAGAAAAAAAATCAAATGTCTTTTAGTATTTTGCATCATGAAATCTGAGTATTTGAAATTCTTGAAAGCATAAAATGCCTTTTTCTCTCCCTAGCAGCAGAAGCGGGCAAGTTTTGGTGTTGGCAGTCAGTGCGGTTTTGCCCCGCATGGTGGCAATGTTGTACAAGGCTGTTGGAGCACGGAAGCCAGCAGTGGCAGGCTCTGCCCACCATCCCAGGCTGAGCTCTGCTCAACATTTGCAGCATCATTTATTCCAGATCTTCCTGTGACAACTTAAAAAATGGGTCTGCTCAGCTTAGGACATGTCTGCATTACAGTATGTGCTGTGTTAAGGCAGGGCTCTGTCTTCCTTGTATGGATGAGTTTGTCCTAACCATGCTATATAACTGTATCTCACCCTGAGGGGACAAGGCATTGCAGGGTAGGACCATATTTGGTTATTATATATCATCTGTTCGACAGGCTAACCCTACATGGATAAACATGGGATTAATCTGTTTGGCTCTATGCATGCAGCACAAAAATTTGAGACAGCTCCACATCAAACTAGTGAATTTTACAGGGAAAAACCTCTAGTCCACTTGTTCAGGAGGGAACTTGAGAGATGAGTTCTGTGTTTGTAAATTAGGCTCATCCCCTTGTTCTTATAAAAACAAAACCGAAAAAAGAAATACAGACCTGAAGGAAATGGGTGATGTGGGTGAAACGGATGTTTGTGTCTGTTTAGATGTACAGGCCTCCTGATAAAGCACTAAGTCCACTGAAACTGCAGGGATGCATTAGATCTTGGGGGATGTGCTGGAGTTTGCTTGGCCTGCTGTTACACCTTCCTGGGTGTCAACCAGTATAGGCCAGCATCAGAGACAAGGGCTTTGTGGATCCTTGTTATGATCTAGTTTAGCTGCTGATTTCAGGACATTAGCTATTTTTATTTAAAGCCATATGTTGCAAGACTGATGAGAAGATAATGAAAAATAGCAATGCAGTTTCAATCGAAAGCACAGTTGTGTCAGGGCAGTAAGAATATATGCCCACACTGCACCTAAACATCAGGATTCAAATGTCTAGGATAGGCACCAAATAGCATGATGCTCATCAAAGCTCATGATGGAAGCAAGGCTTATGACTAGCAGTAATAACAGCAGCCTGTCTACAGCAACACCGCCACTGAAAATTGCTAAGCATTTTATTTAGAGCAAGATGCTTTTCATTAGCTTTATTCTTGGATCCTTTAGGATTTACATGCTTAGACTTTCTGCATAGCATCGCAGATACAGTCTTACCTTTGCTATAGTAAAGAGTGGAATTCTTATCTCATTACCTGATTCCAGAACATGGGGTTTAAAAAAACTCAACAGCTAATGTTGCAAGCCTGATGAGAAAATAATGAAAACTGGCAATGCAGTGTTAATACAAAAACCCCAAATAACCCAAATACACAACCCCTGCTTCAAAACCCACAATTGCATCATATCTGTTAAATATGGGGTATACCTAGTATGGTTTTGTCTGTTGAAACATGATCAACTTGTGCTATAATACAAGGCTATCCCAGCATAATATATTTTATGAACTTACTAGTGTATGTTAAAATTTAGACTCTGCAGTATGAAAGGCTTTCAGAACACATCTTCTTTTGTTTCATTTTACCTATTTAGCTAAAATGAGAACCTGGCAAGCTGGCAGAAAGTTTCTAACTGATAGTGAGACTTCCTTAAAAATGTCTATTTCTTTTCACTTAACTAATACAGTTGAGGTATTAGTTATTTTGCTTTTCAACATCAGTTGATTTGATTTCGGTGAGCTAACTCCTGTGCTGATGTTCTTTTCAGGTGATGGACTATAACATCAACCTAGGAAAACACCTTCTTCCCTTGGTGGTGCAGGTATTGAAATACTGCACTTGTCCTCAGCTGAGGCATTACTTTCAGCAGCCTCCTCGCTGCTCCCTCTGGTCCCTCAAACCTCACATTCGGCAGATGTGGTTAAAGGCTTTGCTGGTCATTCTCTATAAGGTGAGTCGTCTTAAGAAGACACTGCCCGCCTTAAAATTTACACTTCAATTTGAAATTTATTGCAGGGAACACCTAACTGTACTGCAGGTGAAAGGAACTGTAAAGAACACTTTGATTTGTTTACTCACTGTATTTAATTTCAATGTCTGAAGTAGTTAAGCTTTCATCTGTGCTACTGACCTATTACTTCTGCTGTCCACATTGTCTTTCACATGGTTACCTGAGAAAGAAAAATATGGATTTGAAAATAGGAAAATGCTACATAAGTTCCAATGAATAGTATTTTGAGTAACTTAGAATTAGTTTTTAAAAAATTGAGTAACTTTAAATTACTTTTAAACAGCTTAACAGCTTGTATTCTTTAGTTAAGTGATGCTTTTTAGGAATTGTTGTTAAAATGTAATGTGAATGGAACTGTGAATACTTTTGATATGCTTAACAAATTTCTAGCAGGTCTATAGCACATACAAGGAAGTAGAGACACTAGAAATGAATGATAACAAGCTGATTGAAATCAAGCATTTGGAGAACAGTTCTGATGAGAGACCTTCGTGTTTTATATGTAACACAGAGGCAAACTGCTTTTCCCTTTGGATGTTATGCAGCAAATTAGCAATATGTAAATAAACTGAAGAAAGTAAGGAGAAGTCAGCAATGCGTTGCCATCCACTAACATGAATTTCACACTTTTTCTGTATCAATGTTTTAACAGAATATGAGTGATTGCCTCCTTTCCTTACAGGTAGATCTTGCCAGTTTGTACATCAAGACTGGTGCCAAGAACATGCCCACACTGTTTTTGCTGACAGATGCCCAGGTTCCAGATGAACGCTTTCTTGTGCTGATTAATGACTTCTTGGCATCAGTTGATTAGACCAACACATTTCTTGAAAGATCTTTTCCAATGACAAATGATCTGTGGTTTCATTGAACTTTAAGGAGATTATTTCTCTTTTCAGGTATTTGTAGGGGCAGCTTTTAGAGAGACCAAGTCAACCCATTCAACTTGAGCATTGAGTCTAACTTGCTTAAGAAACCATTGCCTATAAGGAGACAAATTGCTAAGGCTTATTGTGCATAAGTGCATTGATCTTGGGCAAGATGGAAATCTCTCTTTAACTTAATGCCATGTTTGCTTTAACATGATTTCACTGACTTCAAGCAATGTCTTTGTGACTGCACAACTGTAATAGACAGCAATGCAGTTTCACCCATGTTTTGAAAATTTGAGAATCTGAATTCTGAACGAGGGGATCTGGAGATAGGGTGGAAGAAAAATGGGAATAATACAATGCTGTACAGTTGGAGAGCATCTTGAAAGATTTTTTTTAAAATTATTATTTATTTTTGCAACCAGACTGAAAAACAATTTTCTAAGAGCCTAAAAAAAAAAAACCAAAAACAAAAACAAAAAA